GCTTATGATTGTTCTCTCATCTTTATGATATATATTCTCCTCATTGATTACTAGAAACGAATGGTTATAACTCATTGAAGAGCCAAAAAATAACAACTAAACAGAAACATCTTGAACCTCTATCCTAGCTCAAAGAGGAAAACAGAAACAGCAGGAAAAGTAAATAACATCTGTTACTAAGCAGTTTTATATGCAGGAAAAACATACATCAGTTGTCACAAACCTGCTTGAAGATCCCTTTTAATGCTCTCCACCTTTGCCACTATATCGGCATCTGATGGGTTCAAATGTTGTGCAGCATTCGCAAAATCTAGAGCTTCTTTACATCTTCCCAACTGCGTGAAAGCACATATGTATATGAAATGGAAGGGTGAATAAAATAAATGCTTATTTCAGAACCATCTCTATGTCAAATAGTAAACTTAAAATCAACTGTGATCAGAGCTATGAATTTACTTGCTGCAGCGCTTCAGACATGTAGTAATGAGCTTTAAAAGATGAAGCATCAATTTTCCGAGCATTATGGCAATCTCTTACCGCCATATGAGCATCATTCTTCCACTTCCTCTGGAAAATAAACGAATCAGCTGATTGTGGTTATTAGAGAGGAGTAATGTAGGGATTTAAGCTAGTTATAGACACCAGTTCTAAAGGACCTTGAGCAACAAAGCGGCACGAGTACAAAGGCATTCATGCCTTAGCGCGGAATCAATATCATTAGAATGACCATCCAGAACTTCATTAGCTGCCTCAATTGCATAGAAAACATCTGTACCCTCTTCTAAAGACCTTTTAGCAATTTCTACCAATTCGGTACACTTCTTAACCTGAAAAGAACAGCGTCAGATGCACTAAGAATATGGAATGACAAGGTCATCATATGGAACAATTACAAAGGGAGGTGCGAACCGTTGCAGCATTGCAATTTCTGTGAAAGCCGTTTTGAGGAGTGGTGGAAACCTGAGGTGGATATTCTACATCGTGGAGGTTGTTACTGAAAGAAAACAAGTTATCTACATCTCCTTGTGTGTATTGCAAGATTCCAGTGCCTACAAGTCGCAAACAAAGGAATGAATCAACAGATATTGAGCTAAAAAAATTAGCAAAATGTTTGAAAAACTGACATTTTCAATACGAAAAGGTGCCTACAACAATAACTAGCACAGGCAAATATTTTTACCTAAGTGGTGAAGTACAGATTGGCAGTTCGAAGAGAGAAATGTACATAACAAAAAGTAAGCAAAAATCTGGCGGGTTAACACATTCATCATTCTTAGTTCAATTTTCAAAAGGGTTCACATAATAGCAAATCTGGTGGATTAACTATTCACGGAATTTAAACTAAAAGCAGCAAACAACTCAACTGCAAATACCATTATTTACATTCATCAGGTAGACATGCTCCCCGCTGTAACTGAGCAAAACTTCTTCACCATTAGGACTGAAAGTAACATGTGTTAGGTGCAAATTTGTTCGCCCCTGAAATAATTTAAGATGTAGCGGACAGTGAGCTTGGGAAAAACTTTGACTAAGAACACAACATGACCACAGCAATGCAGAACTAGTAGAGTATCTTAATATCAAACAGGTTAAACTAACGCGGTCAGAAAGATGCATGGGACAGAAGTAATTGACACATGGAGGTGGAGGCATCCTTTTCCGACTTGATGTCAATGGTGGTAGCATCCTTCTATCATACAAACGAGCAAATGCATCACTGGCAAAGAGGAAAGAAAAGAGCAACAAGTTAGTTAAAAAAAAAAGGACAGAACTCTGATCCAAAAACATGGAAGCAAATACCTTCCCCCAACAAGAAGTAGGTGTGGTCTTGTGGCACTTATATCACAAGACTTCAGGGAGAGAGTTTGCTTAGGAGGATCAGCTAGTGCTCTTTTGGCACCACTGCGCAAATCAAGCTGCATAATTCAGAGCTATCAACAACTTTAATTGGCACAAGAAAGTTTTGCATAAGACACACACCATATAACTATACGTCTACGAAGTATCCAGATAGGCCTCATATGATATTCAAACATCCACACAAGCCGTCTAATAAAAATATACATGGATAATACAAGGGGGGTATACAGAAATATGGCACTCTGTTTGAAAAACTCTACTCAATGCTGACAATCTAAGCAATGGGAAAAAGGCTTGAGAACTCTGATTACAGACAAGTATCAAAATATTGTTTTGGAGAAATTTAAAGCCAATATGGAAGTAGTAGACTAGAGAAACTCAAACTTATTGAAAACATTTGGAGATTACCAGAACACTGCGGCATTCTTGGTGAGCAGTTCCAGCAGGAGGACAAGAGGTAGATTCTCGGAAATCATGCTGCCTTAAAGTCCCATCTTCACTAGCACTCCATACAACATTAGGGTTACCAGGTTCGACCTACGTGGTGGTAAAAACATCTGTTAATCAAACAGCTCAAAATGCTAGACCCAAATACTGATTAAGAGGGTCTTACAGCTAGTTTTTTCACTCTTCGTGTGTGACATTGGTACAATGCTGATGGAGTAATAGCATTGTCATCTTCTGCTCTACCGCTTAAGTGGGATAGATTGAATAGCCTCACCTACAAGATAGGAAAAATACATGCACAGACCCCCAAAAAAAACAAAAATCACCAAAAGATTAATTATATAAATGACATACGAAGCCAAGTGAAATCACTACCCAAAAGGGGTAGTTTTATATACCTCAGCATCTCCAGCACCAGATACCACAAGCTCGTCAGAAGTTTCAGGAACAAACTTTGTACAGAATATGTTGGCAGTATGCCCTGTATCTATAGAATGCAAAAGCGTCCTACTGGAGTAATTCCAAATATTGATCTGAAAATTAAAAGAAGATATAACTGTCAAGAAAAAGCAACGATATAGCACGACGCGAGACAAATAAGATGCGCAAACGGACTTCTTTAAAACTCACATCCAAAATTAAATATAAGTGATACACGTAAAACAAACCAAACAAGCTCAACTAACAGACACAAAGGAAGATTTGAGAATTTCATATACCCTTAAATCATCTGATCCAGATATCAACAGTGAACCATTAGAGTTCCAAGCTAGAGTATTAACACAGCCTTGATGTCCCTGCCACACACAAGAAAACATGTGAAGAAATAGACCAACAAGCAGAAGAATGAAGATAGCCTCAAAGCTTGAGTAATAACCTCCAATTCTTGCTCCTGAGAGAGTCTCCGAACCAAGGAAGAGTGTAATTGCATTCTTTGATCAACCTCCTACAAAGACATTGCCAGAGAGGGTAAAATTTCAGGTAGAAGCAAGAATTGAAAAAAGTTGATTTAAGGATTCAACTATAAGTTAAACACCTCCATAAATCAAGCTAGAGCACTGTAGCTAAAACCCTAGCAATGAGAAAGAAAATCCGAATTCCAATGGGGGAAAAGAAGAAGAGAAAGAGAAGAAAGATTGGGGGAGAGAAGACGTACATGACTTGGGTCCTGGGACCTTGTGTGGAGGAGATTGAAGATGTTACCATCGTGAAAACTGAGATTTTCCATGGAGAAAACGATCGACCGGCACCGATCACGAATTGGAAGAAAAAGCCCTTTGGCTCTCTTTGTAATCTGACGCAATTTCTCGTGCCCGGTTCTACATTCTACGGTCAGATCCTCTGCGGCGCATGTGTTGGGTATCTCTGTACTCTTATTACATCTGAGCCGTTACTTTTTACGATTTTTTTTTTTTTTTTACTGAATCATGTAAACAAATCCTTTTATGGGGAAAACAAATTTACACATGTGGTGACTGGTGAACGACAATTTGCTGTGGTGTAAACCAAAGCAGCAGTATAGTTGTTCGATAAATCGGTTCCAAATTTATTTAATTTCTTTCCACATTTTAAAGCTAGATATAATTTGGACAAAACTGTTTCTGAATATTCGTAGACACGTAACAATGTGAAAAAAAAATGTCACATAATGCCGATCTGTCCTTAGTTAGTTTTTTGACTGATTTGGACAAATGTTTGATTCTAAAACTAAACAAATTTTGGTAGAACTTTTTAAAAATAAATCATGTTGTAATATAATTCTTCGCTTTGCATTCAGAAAAAAATTAGGTTTTAAATACAATTGTGAAATCCCGAATTTTGGTTTGTTTTTTTTTTTTTTTAATTTAAAGAAAGTGAAACAATCGATGTGTACTTTTTACTTTTTTAAAGACTATGCAACTCTTTTTTTTTTCCACCATTTTCTACTACTAGTTCTAGGTTCTTCTACATTCTAGGGCAAGATTCTTCGAGTGTATTGGCTAATCTATCCATGTGTTCTAAACACATCAGAACCATTCTTTTCCGCAATCTAATTACCATAGCCTTGACTCGTTCGTTCCGATCTTGGTTAAATTTCTGAAGAAGTGAGTTGGCGTGTTTTAATTTCTCCAAATCCATCCGGTTGTGTGACATTAGTGTTACACCTTCACACTATGTGGTATCGTGAATTCGTGATGTATGTTTTCTGTGTTAATTTCTTGCGATATGGTGATTGATGAGATATAGTTAATTGGCTGTTTATACTTATCACTTAGTAGCTACGGAACCAGAAAAAAGACTCAATTCTCATCATCGACAGTGTACTTTCAGAGGCATGTGCACGGCGATTCTAATTAACAGTGCCGTTTTGTGACGTCTCCAAAGATGATTCTTATTATAATTGATTTGCGGAAACAAAATTTTAGTATACTAATTTTTTTTTTTGTCGGCATAGTATACTAATTAATGAACAAAAGAAGTCGGTATAACGAGCAAGATAAAGTGACAAGCCGGATTGCCATATAGTATAACAAGATACAAATAAATCCCATTGATAATCAAATACTCCAAAACTTGCAATTTCCACTACCTACTCAAAATAATCTTGACATTAATTAAATGACCAGATGACGAAATGGTAACTGAACAGGGCTAGCTTATGGGTTTATGTAGTGTATCACAATTCACAATGTACACAATTGGACACAAAGACGAACGACAAGACTTTTTCCATAACACATTATTCCAAAAGATACACATGGTTTCAGTCCTTTGAACAAATATACAAGAAAACAAAATATACATCCACATCCTTTTAACAAATATGTGAGTCATCATACCAAGCAAAAACATCAACAACTGTATATGCATATATAGAGATTACAGCACACACACATATGTAGAGGGAGAGAGATCAAATGCTCAAATTGTATCATCTTATTCCAACAACATAGATACCAAAGCGAAAAAAATACTCACATTTTTGAAAATTGATTCTGCGATGAATGAACTAATAAAATAACTAGATAACACGAAACATTATAAATTAAATTAACTACAACCAGTTCTTGAAGGTTTTATGATTATTTTACAAAACTCTAGCTAAATTAAGGGCAGCCATCCCTTACCTGATCATTTGACTATTCCAAATTTCCATTATTCAACTAACATATTAGTCAAGACCCAACTGGAATTTAGTGGTAGAATAATTTTCTTTGCTACACACTAATCATTTCTTCACCACAACAATCGGAGATAAGCTATACTCAGTCATATTAAACCACATAAGCTTCAATCGCTTCCACTTATCTTTAAGTGATTATCCCTCTTTGAATTCACACATCTATATATAAGAGACCTTAGAATCATATATTTATTCACATAACTTACATAGAAACTATAATGCCCAAGAGTTTGAGCACATCAACTCCAAACTTTTCGCCACTAAAACCAATCTTATTCCATGGATTCAAGTGCAATCTGCATAACTTTGACTCACCTTTTGAAGTTGAGAGTTGGGACAATTCATATGTGCTAGAGTCTGCAAAAAAAAAAAAAATTTGGTTTAATGGTAGTGGAATATAATTTACTTGGAATACAAAATCTAAGATATTCACCATCATGAATGTACAAAGTTTTGAAACTACATACATTTCAAATTATATAAAAATAAAGAAAATTAGATGCAACATATGTATACATAGAGAATTTGGTATGCACAGACAGATATGAACACAAATGAATTACTAGAACAATGGAATAAGGAAGATTCATGAAAGGAGAAGTTATGACAGAAAGAGAGTGAGCACGCAAAAGCAACCATATACAAAAATTCTATACAACTTCCCCTTTGTGTGCTCACTCTCTTCTGTCAACTTCTTTTCCCCCATCAACATATATATAAACACACATATTTATCTGATTATAACCATATATAATATATACAAGAAATATGTTAGAAAAACGAGACAGAAAAAACAAGGATATATGTGTTTAATATATGTATGTGTAGATAGTAAATTCCAATTAGTCCAGAAACCGATGAAAAAACAAAAGATAAAACAGGACACAAGTACAGATCGAAGGTACTTGAGATCAAATCTGGGAACAAACAACTACTAACAAAGACTTGATTAATGGATCCATAAAAGGAAAGTATAAAGAGATCTAAGTACGGACACTGCAAGTTAGGGTTTCTTCTCTAATTCCCAGTTTTAGAATTTCTTTTTTTTTATGAGAAACAAAGGTTAAGGAGATAAACTCAGAATTGCAGCCGAAAAACAAACTTTCTTTTCTCTTAATCACTCACTCTCTCTCTCTTTCATGCAAAGCATACATGTGTCGGCTGCTTTCTTTATCTCTCTATATAACGAAAGAGAGAAGTGGTGATTAAATAGAGAAATTTTAAAAAAAAACCCTAGAATGAACAATGAATCCAACAACATTTTCAATTTTAGATTAAATAAAAGAAGAAGAAAAAGAAAAAAAAAAGGTGAAACAGAGATGAAGGAGAGAAGAAAGTACGGATCGGATGTCAAAACGCTTGGTTATGGTTTGTCGGAGAGAGACGTGTCGCAATCAAAGGCCAGGACTTGACTTGAGAGTCGTTATGAGCCGTTGGATGTGTCTTTTGTTCAGTTCCGTCTCATTGCCGTCTTATCTGCTTCTGTCCTTTTTAAATAACTCAGTATTGCGTCATTAGATCTAATTCTTCTCAATTCTCTTCTCTTATCTTCTTTTCTATCTTTAAAACTGGATTAATGCTGGTTAATTCTTCATTTGTGTCACGGTTTAATTGTTCTGCTTCTTTGTCAGAGTCGTCGGCTTTGTTTAAAGTTATTTTTTCATTAAGTCAACCAATGATCATAGTAGTTAAATCGATGTAGTTAATGCGGTATAAATATAATTACTGTTGTTGTAACTTTGAATTGGTAAGTGGGCGTGGCAGGGTTTGGTGCCCACTAAATTAATTAATAAACACGTTTTGTTTCCATTCATCTGCTAAAAAAATGGGACCGTATACAGTAGCATGTTCATTTTTGGCAATGAGCCGGGTAATGCGATGAGGGTCGGAATATATAAATGTACTATCGAAATTCGACACATAATAATTTATTAGATGAAAATTTCAGATCATATAGTATTGAGTTTGTTAGATACCTAAAACCATTACCCAAATTCTTGTTACGGATAATTGGGTGAAAGACGTTATTGGGGAAGTTATTTAGTTTTTTAGTAATCTGACACAAGGTCCAGAACAACGATAATTTTAGTCTTCTTTTGCTCAATTTTAACCCCACTCGCTTCTTGTATTTAGATTTTGAATCAGTCCATTGCGTGAGACGAATGAATTGTTGTTTGTTGTGGATGTCCAAAACATTTTGTAAATCTATGTATATATCTTGCATGTTGTCTCTTCCGTCGATTAGATTGAATATCTAATAAATATTTGTGGTTACATATATATAAATGTTAATAACGGTCTATATACATGTTTTTATGTATACAAATGTTAGTAACGTTCCATGTATGTATTTACATATATATAAATGTTAATAACGATCTATATATATATTTACATGTACACATAGACCGCACTATTTAACACCATAATTATTTCTAACGCTCTATATATATGTTTATATGTATACAAATGTAAAATATTCATTAGGTGTCCATGCAACTAAGTTAGTTGTTTAAAAAATTCAAAGAACTATTTATTGAGTGTCCATGCAACTGTGTTAGTTGTCTATATTCAAATTTGAGTTAGCTCAAATTAAGATATGTTGCATTTATTAACAATTACTTCGTTCATTTTGTCGACGCGACAATATTAGTTCACCTGGCAGCATTTATTATATATATGGCAGGTTGTTCCTTAGGTTCCCTTAAGAGACATAATCTTTCACCACGCGCATGGTCAAACACACTTCTAGTTTTTTCGTTATTAACTGGAACTTCAAGTCCAGTTATATTCTTTTTTTTGGTATTATCTCAAACGATTTCTACTAACGTCTTTTAGCTAATTTTCTCTCCTAATAATGTATTTGCGCTAATTCACCCTTTTTGTTATTTTGAGTACGGTGTTCAAATTTAGAAATGGGGTATTTTTGGAAACTTAAATATTTTTGTATAATATTCAAATTTGCCAAATATGTTTTTCTTATAGCTAATATGTTTTCGCACTATAATAAACTGAATTTTACTAAATAGATAGTCATTTTAACGAATACGGATATGTAAAAGGAATTATACGATACACCTCTTGTGGAGAACAACACTGATATGCAGTTAGTAACTAAAATTTCTTAGTGATGTTGTACCATTGCAGAAAATGTGTGCACCCACCTTCTTATGTAGAACAGTAGAAGAACTAGTTAGTAGTATACGGTAAGAGGATGACAATAACACGAGGTGATAAATAGTTGGTGGTACAAAACACAAACACTAGTGATAGAAAGAGTATTGTACTACCATCACTTTGAAAATTTAGTATTGATTTTAAAAATTAAACTCTTTCAAGTGAAAATAATATACATTTCATAAATTCGAGGTCTGTTTCCCGTTTTTGAAGCGTGTGTAAACTATTTTCTATCTTTATCATTTTATTAAGCTATTTAATATTTATGTTTTGGATTTGTATTGTTTCAAATATTTTTTTAATATGGTTTTGATGTTTGGCGTTTATATATATGTGATATGTATACGCACATGTTCAAAATGTATTTATTTCTATTTTTTTTTAAATTGTTTTTCTTTCCAGAAACATTTTACTTCTACTTATCTGTTTCTATTTCCATGCAACATAGGTTGCGTCGGCTTTTACCTATCAAAATGTTTCCATTTTAGAAAAATAGCGTTTTTTAAAACGTTTTACTTCCGCGTATTCGTTTTCATAGATTGTTAGATCAACAACGAAACTTTAAAACATACTATTGATTTTTCACCCTGAATCATAGTGAATTTAGTGTTTAGGTTCGATTCTGTATATCTGTTAGCATACTAGTAAATCAACAACTAGCTTACCTCTTCTATTTGCTTGTGAACAAGAAACATAATTCATATCAGAACTATTATAAACTGCTTTGCCTGAAAATATCAGAGAGAGAGTCAGATTTAATGGAAAGCATTAATTCACATTCATAGTTCAAAAGACTTTCCAATCCCTCCCCCCGGCTACATAAGACTCTAAAACCTAAATCAAACGAAACAAGAATTCTCTGTATAAATAAAAATGAAACCACACCCTTTAACAATGGCTTCCTAACACTGTAACTGTCTCCTACGGTACCTGCACATAGAGACAGACCGTGACACTATTACTTATTTCTTAAGTCTATTTTTTCAAGGGTTTTTTCTTTCTGGCAAGATTATTGCGAAGACGACTCTTCTTCCCCTTCTGGTTCTTCTCCAGAATTTTCTTCTCCTTCCTCTTCCTCCTTCTTCCCCTTCGGTTTTTCCCTCATAGCTTCAATGGCCTCTGGGGTTTTCTGCAAGAGGCTCACTAGAGGCTTCCCCTCCTCATCAGACGTTTCATCCACAGCATCTTCTTCTTCACCATTTTGATCATCAGAGCTATTGCTCTTAGTCTTTTCCGAGGTTGTCCTCGGTTTTGCTGACTCTTTCTCCTCACCATTCTCCAAGGCCTTGGCTTTGGACTCATCAGCAGATGTTCCATTCTCAGCATCATCTTCTTTTTCACCAGCGTTGGAGTTGCTGGGTTTCATGGCCTTGAGCTCGGCCTCATCTTCAGAAGTTTCATTCTCAGCATCAGCCGCTTCCTCTTTGTCAGTGTTAGAGTTGCTGGATTTCGAAGCCTCATCATCAGTAGTATTATTTTCAGTATCTTCATCAGCGTTGGAGTTGCTGGACTTCATGGCCTTGGGCTTGACCTCTTCGCTTGAAGCATCATTATCATCATCAGAGCCATTCCTTTTGGCTATTTTGGAAGAAGTCCTCCGTTTTTTCAAGGACTTGGATGTCTCTTTTTCATTGTTATTCCCCTTGCTTCGGAATCTTCCACTCATGCGTGAGGCCGCTGCTACAATCTTACCCCCGATATCACCCATTTTGCCATTTTTCTCAGTTTCAGGCTTCGAGTTCTTCTTCTCCACCTCTTTGGATTTGCTGTATAAACAACAGGTGTAATTAGATCTTCAAAGACAGAGCGCCACAATAATACTGTAATCTATATAGCTGCCTCTATGTTATGAAATCAACTCCATAACGTGTGAAGCAGAGACAAGGTAAGGTGACTTTAATGAGTGTCTGTGTTGAACTCGCACGTGAGCGTGTAAGTGTGCATATGTACGAATGTTTATTCAAGTATGCATATTAAAACATAACCAACCTCTTTGATGAAGAATCTATCTTCCGTCTCTTTCTCGGCATAACATCATCTGTCCTTCCTTTTGAGGATGGCTTCCCTTTCCCTTTAGACCTGTAGAGAGTTTAGACAGATGTATCAAAGATCAGTCAGAATTACTTACTCTTAAGTCTTTAGGTTGAGGGACACAATCCATAGACATGAATATATGTGTATCCGACAGACTCATGTTCGTAAATCATGACTATTAGAGATTATTCAAAAAAATAACACAACATCTAAATCAGAACCCTAGTTAAGTATAAGGAGACACTCGGCGTTGCGATTGCTAAAACAGGTATGAGGATAAGGGCAAACTTACGGTTCTGGAGTACCCTCAGAACTCTCATCAGCAGATTCATCCTGAAGGGAGATCTGAAAAAAAGAATGCTGAACCATTAAAAGCTAGTAATACAGAGGATATAATCGAGGAAAAATGATCAAACACTGTCTAGTATCTATCTACCTCATCAGATTCAGATTCAGTATCATCTTCTTCAATCAACTCCCATCTTTCCTTCTTCAAATCCAAGGTCTCTTTATCCCCATCTTCATAGAAAACCTTTTGTAATAGAAAGAGTGATTCATTAAATGACACATTATCTAAACTCCTCTGAGAAAGTAAATCATCCACCAAACTTAATCAATTTAGATTAGATATCAAAGGATCCTCCTAGAATCCAAGAGATAAAACCTAATTCATTCATATCAACATGCCTTTAATGAATATATGCAATTCAAAATCCAATCTAGATTCAAGCAAACGATAGAAACAAGGAAACAACAATCATGATAAGAATTACCCGATGTTTCTTCTTGGAAGAGACATAGGAATCCACCACACCCTTGTAGAATCTGCAAAACCAAGAGATCTGTAAGATTCATCACAAGTAAAAAAAAACTAATTTTTTCAACACTCACTTGCGATCTAACGGCCACCAAACTCTAATCCTTGAACCCACCAAGGCTTCACCATATTTTCGAGCATCAGAAACCTAGTCAAAAAAATCAGTACTTTAGAGCAAATTCGCATATAAGAACAAGTAAATTCAAAGAAGAAGCGATTGATGCAAAACCTTATCCTTTCCAGAAGAACGACTAGAAGAAAGTCTGTTGTTTGCTGATGAACGCTTCCTAGAAC